TTAGGATCTGTGGGTCTAACTTAACTAAGGCCTTCGCTACCGAGGGTTTTTATGCTACACAATCAACACCGGAATCGCTCCGCAGCGCAACAGAAATTCGGCCAATTCTGTTGTGATGCGGAGCACCCGCTATGAACCACAGCACACTTGATCCGCTATTCGCTATGTAAAGAATCTCACAGAGTATCGGAGCGGCGAATTCGCTCCAATATTCGCTATAAAGAGCGCGCTATATAGCGCACTAAACCGCTACGATAGCGCATCATGGGGCCAAACCAAAGATAACAAAATTGTAATTTAAATCTATGTGTACTCGTCCAAGCCTAAAAGGCTGGAGCAAGTAGGAGAGTAGATGTAGCGTCTGTAGAAAAGAAAAAACAAGATAAAGGTGAAATGAAAAGAAAACATAACAGAAAGAATCGGGAGATAGAAAAAAACCCATCCGAAACAATATAACTAGCTGGTTTTCTTAACCACCTTTTCCATATAGAATTGAAGAGCTGTTGCAGCTGGTTCAAAAGCGCCTTCAGGTATCACTCCCGCCTTCAACCACGCTTGACATCCAACAAGACGCTCCATTGTTTTAGGAAGCATACTGCCTCGCGACGGGGTACATATGTCAGCAGCGGCAGAAAAAGTCCGCTCACATGCACATGATGTGGCGGAGATAGACAAATAGTCACGGGCAAGTTTTGCAAGTCGGGGGAATCAATGTTGATGCTCCTGTAAATAAAAGAACATGAAAAGGTTAGCCACATCAGATTCACATAAGAATCACCAGTAAATAGTAGACCTGTGAAAACCAAAACATACCTTCCACCAATTGAGAGGTGTTTGATCTTTTTTGATGGGAAGTCGACCTTGCAAGAAATCATTGAGCTCCGATGTCATAGACTTGCTGGGACCACCAATTGAATCTCCAAACACATCGAAAATGTCGGGCTCGGGGGAGATGGTGTTGTCGTTATCTTCAGGTGGTGGTGGTGGTGTGGCCTCAGCCTCAGGCTCTTGCAAGATGTCTTCAAAAGCAGTCTCAATCAGGGCTTGAGATGTTATTTCGTGCTCGGGGTAGTGGAGCAAAAAAAATTTGACTCGGAATCGGGGGTTGAGAATCGTGGCAAGAACTATTGCATCGCAGTTGACAGCCTCATCTTGATATTCTTGAAGCCATTTGATCATGATGGTTATGGCGTTGTTGAGACTAGGAAAGATGCCTGATTCAGCTTGATGTTCTTTGAGCTCGTTAATCACTCTCTTGTATTCAGCCAAGATGATACAGCCCGTGGGACTGTCCCCTTCAACTCGAGAGGTGCCATCGACAAAAGTCTATGAAATAAAACTGGTCGTCAGTAACCTGAACTCAATCAATCACAATAAAGAAAACACACCTTTAATACTTTATTAACTGTCTCAACAGCATGCCATTCGGAGGGTGAAATTGTAATACCCTTAAAGAAGCATGCCTTGCGATCTGCTGCGATCATGGAATTGATCACCTACAAAGCAAAATCATGATACAATATTTGTATCAGAAGATAAGATGAAATTGGAAGATATAATGAAATTACGTACCTCCTGGGCCTCACAAGCTACCTTACGACATTCGTAATGGCTGTTCCATCGGGTTTTGCAAGGCCTTCTAAGCATTCGGCCGGTGTAACCCATGCGAGTAGCACACGACTTGAAATCGTTACGTCGAGCAGCACTGCTAGAGATCTGCCCAGAGACAGAGTTGACCTATATCAAAATTAAGAAATTAATGAGATAACAAAGTTAGCAACCAAATCCAGCGATTTGATCAATTATTGGATAGAACTGACCTTAGCAAGTGCAACAGCTACTACATCATCTTTATCACAACCGATAACATCTCGACGTCGATTTTCGTGTTCATCTTCGTCGTCCACACCATCAGGATCATCAGGTAAGCCAATTTCATCTTCGGATTCTGAGTCCGATTCATTGTACTCAATTGCATCCTCGCCATCGTTTACCTCAAGCCCAGGGATTGGAAGGGCAAATCCGTAAGGTGTTGATGGCTTTGCATTACCTACATTCTGACCAATTGCCTTGAGGCCGTGCCCGACAACCAGATTGAGCTTGTGCGCGTAACATCGAACGTGATGTGTTGAGCTGTCCCAGCTGGCCACGTCTTCAGAGCTTGCAAACATCGCCTGAAGCTCAGTAGCCATCGGGCGATTGTTCCCTCCGCTGTCGGTGGTCTGAGCTACCATGTAAGGAGGACAATAAAAAAAGGACAGAAAGATAAATAAAGAGAAATATAAATAACGAGAAAAAAAGGAGGCTTATCTTTTTATGAAGACCATGCCGAATCAAAAAACGGCCAATTGGTCTGGCCAGGAGAGCTCCAAAGTGTCTCCACCCCACCATCTTCAGTGTGAGATGGGTGGATTGATACTGCCAAGAGTCGTTGATATAGTTGGCCGATGCGCCAACAAAAGCGTACCGGTTCCCTTTAGTTGTCCACACATCATGTATCAAGCAGAATTTCCCTTGATTTACCTATGAAGATCAAAAGTCAATCAGTAATCAATATATAATCTGAGGATATCAAAAAGTTAAACAGGTAAAACTTACTTTCAATGTGTTAATCGCCTTGTCATGCAAGGCCCCAAAAAGCTGCACCGACTGCTGGGCCGCCCAGGTGGAAGATCGAACGACAGCACCACGATTGACTGAGTAGAAGGCGGTACGGAGGGCTGGGTCTTCAAATCGAGCCCATGGGAGAGCGTGCCGAATGATCCATAATACCAATATCATGTTCAAAAGCTCGACCGTGAAAGTAGGTCCAGTGACAAAGGAAGTTAAAGTGGAATCTTGACTTTTCTTGTTCTGTTCATGATAGGTAGGTGGAAGTTTGCGACCGGATTCAATTGCTCGATGCCGATTCTTGCAAGCAGGGCGATTGGCACTGCCATCGCGATGGCCCCACAAGTTCCAGTATGATTGACGACCATTCTTGAAGATCTTATTGCACCAACGACACTGATATTTGAGACCCTGAGTAATAAACATTCATGTTAGCATAACAAAGAAAAGATAAAAATAAACTAAATGTCTATACAAGAAGTTGATGGACACGTACATCAGGAGGGTGAAAGAACTCAAGGAGTTCGTTCACGCGAGCGCTACGAGCTTCATTATAAGTGGGTCCATTAGTTCCAACAAACTCGATATCAGAATCTTGAGATAAATCAACATCATTGGGAACTTCAAAGGGCTGCTTGTGACAAATCAGCAAAGTTTGTTGAAGCTCGGATGTGATATGGATCACTTACATCCATATTTGCTCGCTTGGTTGGTCGGGGCGAAGGACTTTTTGATCTCGCTGATGATGATCTAACACGTTTGCTGGTTGATGATCGAGGCTGGACATGATAGGCCATTGTTAGTTAACAGCCAAATCTTTGAATACATAAGAAAGGCAAATAGATAACAACAAACCTTTCCCTTGTCAGTTGGTTTGACTTTTGTTTGAGCGGTGACTGAGAGTCTCTTCTTGGTGGTAACTTTTTTGATGGGTCGAGGTGATGGAAGTCGATGAGCAAGACTCAGAGTACCTGGCTGATCATCCTCGGAGTTCGCTGAACTTGAAATGGTGATACTGAGAGAGGTTCGAGAGTCTTTGGGAGGTACTACAAATCCAGGCTGGGAGCGAGCTGGGCTAGGAGGTCGAAGAGTTCTAGAGCTGGACTTACTGGGAACCTGGAGAGTCGAGGAGCTTTGCGATGATGATTTGGAAATGGGCATTGTAATAAAAGTATTAAAGTATTAGCGTCACTGATGATCGAATCAAACAAGCTTCTCAATTTCTACTTGAGAAAAAGACGTACCACAACTTGAAATACCAATTGCAGACCCACATTTCAGCCGAATTTGAAGACAACCTATCTTCAAGTTCGACCACAAGCCAGCCAGATTCGAAGTCAATACATCCAAGGGTTGTGTGGTGTCGTTAGTTGATGAGAGGAATGAATGAGTTGTTCGGTAAAGAGATCCAGTGGCGCTGGTATGTAGTAGTACAGCCTGGGTACCCTGGACCCAGCTTGTATTGCCGCTATATAGTGGAAAACCCGAGGCCGGTCGGGTTGCGCTGCGCTTGACCCGCTATTGGGAAAACTGGCCCGGGGCTGTGGTGCGCAGCCCCCGCTACATATGGCGCATGTTATAGTGATGGTAAAAACCGCTGCGCAACCACTCCGCAACCGCTATTGGATGCGGAGTGGTTCTGGTATTGACACAATCATGCGCGGAACTATGTACATAGTCCGTGACTGGAGGTGTTCAACAAACTTAACAAAGTCCCTTGCCAAAGGCCCGAGCCCCAGTGTTCGACGTCGTCAAGGTTCATGAAAGCTATTTCGGTAGTCTTGTGACTTCGACAAGGTCGAAATATCTTCTAGCCCAGCCATTTTCAATTGTCAATCTTGTTCGGGGGGATCGGAGTCACAATCCAGCTTGAAAGCCTGGAGCAAAAGAATTATAGCACTGCTTCAGGGATCCGCTCCACTGGCTCGTACAAGTCGGTTGGCAAAAACAGCTCTTGATCGGGGAGAGCATTCAGCTGATTTCAATCGAACTCGTCGCATAAATCAGTGTGAACGACATCGCAGTTACTATTACTCAACGTTTTGCTGGCCTTCCATCCCGCAAGCTAAACGATGCTTTCCCGCTTCTCCGCTGGGGCACGGCGGGGGAAAGCAAGCCTTGAAGTCGATAAATACCTTGGACGGTGTTATGGCATAAATATCTCATTCGCATGACCGCATTATATAATTTTATTTTATTACCTTTCTCCACACTACGGACAGTGATATCTATATAACCATATTGAAGAACTTATTTGTCTTATTTCTTTCGCTCCCTTCGTTGTAGAAGCACAGGTTAGAAGTCTGAACAACATCTAGTTCAGGCCCCTTATCAAATATCATTTGTAAAGTCCTTTTTACTCTCAAAAACTCAACAAAAAATCGGCAAGGATGGACCGTCTTGCATATTTCTTCTTATTCTCATTTATACTGCGATTCACCATCCAACATCCTGGATTGTTAGCAACGCAACATAGAGGATTGTCACTAAATACTCCAAAGCCTGAATACCAGCTAGATCCAAATTTCGAAATCAATTCCAAAGGCATCACACGTAAATTTGTGTTAGAGGTAACAAACATCACAGCTTCCCCAGACGGGTTCTTGCGCCGTGTTTTAGTGATCAATAAGCATATGCCCGGGCCATTGATAGAAGTATGTGCACATGTTCTCTCATTAAGTTATTTTACAGCCATCTAACGTAAGCTTAAATTTTGCATTTGTAGGCTAATGATGGTGATAATCTCGAAATAACCGTCATCAATCAACTTGATAGTCCTTTGAGTTTTCATTGGCATGGACTTCACCAGGTGAGGTTATAACAAACCCCTTTACCCAATACTGGACTTCTCTCGTCAAAAACAAGAAAGTCTATGGAACTGTGCAACATATTGAATCGTGTTCTTTTTAAAACTCTCGCATATTGAACTTTTCATCGACACAACAACAATGTGCAACTCCAGAATGGAACAAAGTGAGTAGATCATGTAACCAAGAAACTTCATATCTGACGGTCATACATTCTGAATCTCACTGACATTCGTGGTTGCATTTGCAGCTGGGAGGACGGAATCACAGGTACATTCATAAATCTTGAAAGCCCCATAAGCTTTGCACGAACTCATCTGATCCTTCACTTGGTGGTTAGCTGTCACGCAGTGCCCAATTCCAGCCTCAGGTGGCCGATACACTTATAAATTTCAATTGAGAAAACAGTAGGTGGTGTTATAAAGTCTCAGCCTGTTTCAATAAGTAACTGACTCATTTTAATCTTCATGGCAGATACGGCACATTTTGTAAGAAAAAGAAGCTCAAATCACATCATGCCTTGAAAGATTGCTTATATCAGACGTCCGCCTTTCACCTATATTCTCCAACTGTATCGTTGCAACTAAAATGAAGGGTACCAGTAAGCGATCTTTTACATCTAGCTTGATTTAACATACACTGAGATTTTTATTTCCATTCAAATTTCCAGTGCTCATCACCAAAACCTCAAAGCTGATGGAATCTTGGGACCGCTGATTATTCATTCACCTGAGGACCCTTTGAAGCGCGGCGTCGACTTTGACCAAGAGATTGTCTTGATCTTGACAGATTGGTATCATACGTAAGATCTCACAAATAATTTTGCCCTGCTCCATATTGATTTGCTTTCTTTCTTTGTAGGATGTCTTCCGAAATTGTTCGACAGATGCGTTCGCCCAAAGGTTATATGGGTAGTGCAGCAGCTCCTAGTCCTAACTCAGCATTGATGAATGGTGTAGGAGAATACAACTGTCGATTTGCGACTAAATCAGAAAGATGCAAAACTACCTCACCACCAGAATTCTCTGTGGTAGCAGGTAATAAAGTTCGCTTTCGGATCATTGGTGGTGGATCTCTGGCAATGTTCTACTTTTCAGCAGATCAACATGTGTTGAATGTGACAGAAGCTGATGCAACGCCTGTTCATGGGCGTAAGTACCACTCTGAACTATTCTCTACCGTTTCAAACTAATCTGAGGGTGAGTTTTTCTAACGATTTTCTCAACAGCCACCGGAATCCATAGGGTCAAACTCCACAATGGTCAGAGATACTCAGCAATTGTGACTATTGGAGAAAAGGAGGCAGGAAGTAGCTTCTATATAAGAGGAACTATGGAGTCTGATTGCTGGTCATGGTCAGTGTGAAGTTATCTCAATTTTTAAAGCTTTTCCATGCTATACTTTATGTACTCCACTATCATACTAAATCCATTTTGGTCTGATTCGTTCTCAAAGGGTCAACAATGATGTTCAACTGACTGCGTATGGCATAGTAAGAGTGAGCGCAAGCAACGGCTACATAGATCCTCGATCCTCCCAGGAACGCCCAGTTTCAAGAGATTGGAAAGAGCAACCCGACGGATCCTGTGTAGATTTAAATCCAAATGAACTCTCACCTATCATTCCCGTCTCGCCACCCAAAAAAGTTGCTGGCACTGGACAATTTACAAGTGCATTTGGCTTTCGATCCATTTTCAACAGCTCTCAAATCGCGCCAGATGCTGCACCTCCTACTCCTGGTACAGTAATTCCAGGAATGAAAAAAAGACAAGTACAAATTACTACAGCAGATGGTTCTGCTCCTCGTGGAAATGCACCACTTCCGGCACCCATCACTCTAAACGCAGGTCCGCCTCCTATTCCTAAGAACGGAGTAGCTCGTTGGTTTGTCAACAATGTGACATGGGAAGGTGCTTTCAAAATTCTCTGAATTCAAAGCCTTTCATTTATTTTTCTCAATAGAACTCACATGAACATCATTTTTCAGCTTTTACATATCAACCTATCCTTTTTGATCTGACACCTGGTGGTGTAGGACGCGTGAATGAAACTAGAGTAACGAGTGTGACGGTGGGTTCTTATATTGTTCCGATAGATTTTGAAGATATTCTGAAGTTTTTGGGGTTCTTTGCAAACGCTTAGTTTCCAACCGCAGAGTGGTATGACTTATATCTAGTTAATACAGACGCAGGTTTAAATCACCCTTTCCATTTGGTAAGTCTAAAATCATTTACTAAAAATGTCATTTGGTCTCCAAGAGATCTTAAACAATGGTCTATGATGTCTCTTTTTACAGCACGGAATGGACATGCACCTTGTGGCATTTGGTACAGGATTACCTACACCTGATGTGTTGAGCAAGCTGCAATACCGAACTGATAATCCACTCAGAAGGTATTTTTACATCTCTTCTGGTGTTCTTTTCCAACAGCTCATCATAAACTTCCTCCCAAAATTATCAGGGATACTGTCATGGTTGAAGGGGGTTCATTTGTTGTAGCTAGAGTAAGAGCAGATCTGGTCGGTGTTTGGATGATGGTGAGTTATTACATCCATCCTAAAAACTTGTTGATTGAGTCATCATGATTTTACTAAGATCTTCAATTTGTGTTTCTCAATGGTGATTTTCAGCATTGTCATATGGGATGGCATTTGTGAGTTTTTCACGTTTTTTTCATGCTTTAGTTGTCCAGATCAAAAAAAGATAAATCTAATCATACTGATAAATGAATTTAAATGTGTTATTGAAACTCTTCCTTGACAACGTCGACATAGATCTGGAGGTAAGACTTTGTCTATAACTTGAGTTACCTCATCGTTGAACTACTACTCTACTTCAAACTTCTATCTCCCCTACTCTAAGATGTGTGGGGGTGGTAGTTGTACACCCTGATGATATTAAAAAGATGAAAATCCCAGAGCGAAGTCGAGCTATGTGTAATGTGCCAGGTGGTGGTTCACGTGATCAAACTCAGCCTGGTCGTTAAAAACATCAATGGTTAGATACAAACCTCACTTTTCACTTCTCAATACCCAACTGAAAAAAATTCTCTTCAAGTTCATCATCTAATGATTTCAGGTTGAAGACAATCAAAAGACCATAGAATAAAAGATACTTTTCTCTTACTAAAATCTCATCCATTGGATTAAATAGCCTTGTTTTATTTTGAAGAAACTCTCAAAGACATTATTTATCCCAATTCTTAAATTATGATCATCTGGTTCCAAGATTTGGTTATTGGTTCTTCTTAAAAGACACTTTCTTAGAAAGTCATAAATATTTATTCATTGGTGATGAACATTTACAAACATTTTTTTTATTCCTCATATGTACTGGTTTTGTATATATGTATGTAAGGGACTTCGTGGTTTGAAATGAAGAAAAATTAAACAAAAAATCATTCAAAAGAAAAAACAGGCATTCTACATTAGCTTAACAAAGCCCCGTCCGCGTGGCCGTGTCCACACCCTTGCAAATTCACAGCCCCCAGCTAATAGTCACTGGAAAGCCAGAGACTACCATGACTTCAATAGGAATTCAATACAATTTCAAAACCATTTCATACATTTTTCCCCTCATACCACAAGAATTGCAACACCGTGATATGAATCATCAGTCTGTTCACACCTGCTCCTGTATTCACAGATCAAGAATATATAGTCTATTAACCTTTATCATGTAAATTGCCTGAGTTATTGAGGTTTGCAAAAATCACAGGTAAAAAAATACTGTTTTTGTACTATAATTAAGACTTGGATCTTGGATATCTTCAATCTTTATCAATATACATACACATCGGATTTAAAATTGCTTTCTGCAATATGCCTCTCTAGATTTTTGTTCCTTGCAGCCTTCCTGTACAAGGCATTTTTGCATAGGTATTTGTGGATTGTACATGAGCAGTCAAATTTCACCTTGATTTTTTGATTCTAGGAAGAATGTGAAAAGATTAATGGCAGAAGCTTCTGAAGATTACTATTTACATGCATATCAATCAAATTGAGCGTGATTTTTGCCCTATGTTCCATCACAATTGCCTTGAGGTCAATGAACGTCATAAAATTGAACTTCCATATCAAATAAATATGTTTTGCTGAAGAAGCACATAGCAAATTAGTAATACATGGATCATAAAATTATACCAGGTGGTTTTTGAGGTATTTTGTTGAAAAGAAGTGGTTTTTGAGAGCCATTGACCGGATTTGAAGTTGTAAAGGATGTTATATACTATTGAGATGAGGATTTTGGTATGTTTTCCCTGTTTTATTTATCTTTCATAAAATTATCATCTTTTCATCATTATAAACTTATTTTGATAGTATCAGGTCACTTAAATACAGCCTTTACTACAATTACAAAGAGAAATCTAGTTTAATTGTTAAAGTTTATGGAGTTATGAAGTCATTTGGGAATAATATCTAATGGATATTGAGCTTTTCTTTTGTTATCCAATTGGAGTAACACTAAAACTTGTTGAGAATAATTAAAAAGCAGATACTTTTCACTTTTTTCATCAGCTTTCCAAATATATCATGGGTTGAAAACTCGTGCTCTCTGGTGGCTCTCTGTCCTTTGAAAGAATTCAAAAGATATTTTTTCTCTTGGACTTATCAGTACTCAATTAATCCAGGACCTTACTGACTGTCTTGTTTTAGAAGGGCAGTACATAGACAATTTATATCAAGTTCCCTTTACTTGTAGATTGTACCCTTCCAGATCTGTATAACCCTTGTTGGGTTACAAGTTCTACAGCAGATAAGTTGAAAAAAGTACTTAATGGTACTAATTAATTTCTGGAGCTCTCCTTGCAAAAAACACAAGTCCGTTTTCAGTCCCTCTTCAAGAGTGTGGCAAAGGTGTAAGAGGGGCTTAGTTAAGCTTCTTGTTAAGCTAATGTTCTACCACAGATCAATTATTTCTCATTTTTATGTATGTATGACAAAATGATCTCAGAGATAAAAAAATCAATGAACAGGAAACCTAACAAATATTGATGCATTCAAAGATACCTTGTACTCTCCTGTTTATGGAAATGGTAAGACCCAGGAAATCTCCTGTTGAGGTTGGTGTTGAGAGAAGTTGGCATTTGACCTCAAACATGAGTTATGATGGCTTCAAAAATGGTTGGAATTAGGCAGATTCTGAGAATATTTGAGGCAGCATTTCCACCTTTTTGATGTGAATGGTTGGTCTAAGTTTAGAGTTAGATCTGCTTATGTGGAAGCAAAGTGTGAAAGAGAGGAAAAACCTTTCCCTTTGAGATGTCAGAAGAAACTCAAAACAGCAGCATCAGAGTGTTTCCCAAATTTTTCTCTGTTACAGTTGCTGCCCAATATAAGAAGAATCATAAATGCACCAAATATGATACTTACAAGGTTCAATAGACCACTTTGAAATAAGCATGTTAGCATATCTGGGGAGAAAGTGAACCTAATGCTTATTTTGGCAATCAAAAACTGCATTTGAGATACAGCCGTTTCAAGAAAGATTGACAACTTTTTTTGAATAAAGTCGTCTCCACAGCCGGTAAAATCAGAGAAAAAACTTGATTACATGCTTATTATTTTTTGTATTCTTCCAATTAGCAGAGGGACAAAACACGGGTTTTGCACATTGACAAGATTTTCAAAAAAAGAGATCTTTGTTGAAACAGCTGTAATGTATCTTAATAAACTATGGTGTTTAGACATTTCTGCCAATATTTGTGAGCATATTAGGCTGATCTAGGTATAATTATATTTATAAAACCCATCAAATTCACCCCTTGTAAGCATATTTTCACAAAAAGATGTTCTTAGCCTATATGCTAAAGCAACCAAATGAGCCCCCCACATTTCTGCTTCATCAATATTCAACCTCCATACCAAAATAAGCTTACTTGATGTGTAGTTGAGCAGCAACTGCACAGGACTATCAACTTTTTGTAGAGGATTCCTCATTTTTCACTTTCATTGTATATGATTGTTTTTACCCTTGTCTACATCCAGGAAGACTTGTGTTTTATTCTTGTTATATGCATCATTTTTTTCATCTTTTTTCAAGTACTTCAACTGAGCTCTTCCTCAATCCCATGCTTGCTGTACTTATTTTTGCCTGTCCACTGTATTGATTATGACACTAAATATACAAGGTAGGATAAGAAAGAGACCAGGTTACCTTGGGAGGACGGCCATCTAGGTTGAGCAGGGAATTTTGTTGTATTCTTGGCTTTTGAATTTCCTATACACTGTTTTTTGTCATTAATAATACAGTCACCTTTGAGATATCTTGTGATGTGGTGTGCATCCCTCCTTATGGATATGGGATGGCATCAGATGTTGGGCAAACAAATAATTTAAAATTTCAAATATTCTCAAAATCACCTTACAACACCCAAACCCTTTCTAAGTGGATTGACAAGTTTTGTTATGACACCTTAATCAGTGATAGATTGTGTTTGCCCTTAATGACAACTTCCTTGCTCTGCAGCTGTTCCCCTTCATCTAGCTCCTGTAGATAAGAATGGAAGTGCACAAAGTGTTGAGTTTCTGATATTTATTCAGCTAAGAGAGGAAAAACTTTTGGAGTATCCAGTTCTTTGGCAATGTAGTTCCAATTCAGTCTAACACCATCCTCTGAAAGTCTCATTCTCATTTTGTTCCTTGCCTTTGAGAGATGCTTGCAATAAAGTAAAAAACAGTGAGTGTTTTTGGAAAGTCCACATGATTCACATTTGGGAGTGTTGGATAATTTCCTCTTGTAGAGTTGTCCATTGATCAGAGGGCTGTAACCTGCTCTGAGTTGAGAAATTGCTTCTGTGCTACCATTTTCAAGGTATGCTAGCTACTTAGCAATAAGTTTTGGTTTTGTCAAGAAATTGCTTTTGCCTGGTTTGAAAAGTAATTTTTCAATGTCAAAGGTTTCATTAGTATGTTTCTTTAAGGTACTCATACTTTTGGGTAGATTCATTGCAGCCACTTGTGCTTTGGGGGATTTTCCAGCCAACTGGTTTGCAACTCCATTTGGTTCTACTGCTTTGTGACATAGTGTCCAAAAAAGTCTTATGTTGATATCTTCCAGGAGTTGTTTTGAGGTGGTGTGAATTTGTATCAATAAATCTTGACCTGAGGCTGGTTTTGGGATGTTGTGTATGAGGAGTAAGACTCATTTTTTGTTGCCAAGGATGGATATTGTTGTCAGGTGAGGGTGAAGATGTTTGTCAGTGTTGACTGCTAACTCTGTTGCTAACAGTAACCCTAAGAGTTTGGTTTTTTGGTTGGAATAATTATTGTTGCATATAACACCGCGGGAATTATTAAGTGCAAACCCCAATTGAGCAGAATTGCGGTGTCCGAGTCCGCAACTTGTCTCAATTGCGGATCTAGTTCACATTACGTTCACAATACGTTCACAAGTTTCCCTTGAGTTTTTCTGATAACCCTTTGTCATGAGACATACAAAGGCCCCTTTCCGACCAACAAGTGTCTGTCATAGTACATTCCCTGTCCTCGCTATTTACGCTTGCCATAGACATGCCTTCAAGAATGTTTGGCAAATCCAGATTTGATGACTGTGGCATCCTTAAATCCAATGGAGTCAGGATGGCAAAGGAGCCTGACCCGTCCTTGGCCCGTCAGGCCACGTGATTACAGCTCGAGGGCAACTTGTGAACGTATTGTGAACATAATGTGAACTAGATCCGCAATTGAGACAAGTTGTGGACTCGGACACCGCAATTCTGCTCAATTGGGGTTTGCACTTAATAATTCCCGCGGTGTAACTTCCTGTGTTCTGCCAATGTTGTTTGATACCAAGCCATTGATAAAGATGATTGACATGCGTATTTTGGTTTCTCCCTCTTTGATTTGGTTTGGTAATTTCTTTCTTCTCTTCTTTGATCTGAGTTGAAAAATTCTCCTATACCTCTTGCCCATGGCCCTATTGGGAAAGAGTACACTTAGGGGATACAAAGTTAAAACTGGGAGTTTTTTCCCAGTTTCCCAGTTTCCCAAATACCGCCAAAAACGCAAACTGAGAAACTGGGAGAATGTGGGAAAGTTCCAAACACAGCCAAAAACAAAAACTGGGAAACTGGGAAAAAAATCCCAATTTTAACTTTGTATCCCACAACTGTCTCCACTTTTTCACTGGCTAGAGCTTTCATTTGTTGCACTTTGATTACATCTTGAATAGGTCCGCCACATATTCCAGAGGCATGCAAAGGTTTGTGGGTAATGAAGTTTTGTGTGGGGTGGAAGTCCACTTGTGATGCTTTTGTGCCATCCATTACAATTTATAACATCTAGTATTTTTTACAAAAGAGTTAAATCTTTCTTTCCCTTGCCTAGCTTGTGCATAGGTGAGGGAAAGCAGTACAGCGGGAGTTGAGTTCCGCTGTCAAGGATAGTCCTCACTACTCTGGAACTCTCCTCTCTGCAGGACTCAGTATTGGAGGAGGCTCTCAAAGGCGTCTCTTGTAGAGACTTCTGCGATGGCTAAACCTCTCTGTTCAGGAGAGGTTTTGCTGATTGTAGACCCTTGATTGCCTCCAACTTTCCGCCTTGCCTCGCAAGGTTAACCTGTTGGGTGGGCAGGGGAAGAAAAAATTAGTTAGTAAAGGTTTATAGATAAGTTATAATTATACTTGTAAATAATAATTGTAACTATGGATAGAGTAAGGTTAAAGGAAAATTCAAGAGATAAATGAGATGAACTGGAAAGGAAATGGGAAGACGGGAAAGAGATATCTCTTGACCATTTCCCTCGAACTCCTGTGTATCTATTTAGACGTTTCTTCCCATTCGGATCTCCATGGGATCCTTCTTGGGGTTTTATTTCATCTACATATCTCTCCTTTGGTGTATGTTTTTCTATGAAGTTACTCTATCCATGGACAAATCTAGCTCAGCGTGCCTCAAGCAAGAGGCTATCATCCATGAGAATGGGGGTAGAAAAAAATCATGACTCATCATATTTTTTGAGGTACCTTTGAAAGCACCTATTGCAATCCCATTTGCTCTGTTTTAGATCTTGTCTAGTATCTTTGTTGCCTTTGTTGCCTTTGTGTTTGGTTTTTGCATTAGCCATCCTATGCCTTCATATAGAATCCTGGGAATCATAATTGTTATAATTGGCTTCTTAGCTTATTTTTTTGCAAGGCCAGAATATCACTTGTTGATCCTGTGGAGCTTTTGTAGTGTGATTTGGTGTTTTTCTGCATGTGCTGAATGTGGCTGTTGAATTTGTGTTTTGGGTGCAACCATAACCCTAGCCATTTGACCTTGATTTTTGGTTTGAGAACGGTTTCACCAAAAGTGAAAGGGGGGTTGGGTTTTGTTTGATGGTTAGATGTGATAGTTGAGCTTTCTTCCTATCCAAAATTTCTCTGTGTTTCCAGGCCCATTCAAGCAAGTGGTTGGCACGTATATTAAGTATAATTCAGTTTTCTTCAAAAATTCTAGAGGCTACCAGATGGACTATCTCATCTATTAATCCTAAAGATAAGTGGTTCAAAACAGGTCTGGGTGCTTATCACTATGTCCTTGTGGCAGTTGCCTGACAAGAAGCGCACACGGACTGCCTTTGAGGCACAAAGGCAACTTGTGTGCGCTCGTCAACAAGCAAACACCCATGGTGTATGGCCCAGTATCTCAGAATTGTACAGTTCATGTATCAGATGATGGTAGTGGAGAGCCTTGTGGTAGGCCATTGTCTTTAAAGTCTTCCAACAGGTAATCCTGCAGTTGCAAGTTGGTTGATCTCTCCATCAAAAAGCCTTGGATGAGTTGTAAAAGGTACATGGGGCAATTGTATTCATGTATAATCTATCATGGTTGTGTTCCATGTACCAAGGGGTATGTATGCTGATTCGAGGTCCAGGAAGTCAAGACAACCTGTTTATTTTACCATTTTTGCTTGTCCCAGGACATCAGGATTAACAGGCTGTTGTCTGTGCTATTTTGATTTCTGCCTCCCATATGATTGGGTGATATTAGTTTTGTACTTGAAATGAGCTCTTCTTCAATTCCATGCTTACTGTGCTTCTGAGAGCTGGCAATCAGGGCTGTTTGTATGCCAGCCCCATCCGTACGCTATCGCCGTGACTTTGCGGGCTCGGCGCCGGGTCCTTTGAGGTGGTGGACGTCGGAATCTGGATTTTTTTTTGGAGATCTGACGTTGACCAGCGTTGCGGCTCTGAAAGCCGGCATTTTCCACGCCAACCCCCACAGGGGCTTTCCTGTCACTGTGTAGTCAAAGCGGTCCTTGGCAGCTTGCTCCGCCAATACCGGCATATTCCCCCCAAAGCAAAACTCACTTTCCGGTACGGGGTCGAACCATATATATGTACATGGTTGAAGGAAATGAGGGGGATATTTCCAAAGGATGTTACGTACACATGCATTCTCTTTCCTTGTTGAATTAAAAGGAAAAGAAAAGATCCTTATCGATAAGCTATAAGGTGTTTAAAATTATAAAAAAACGAAGTAAAACCTCGAGAGGAAAGTTGATTTGAAGGTAGAAGAAGAGAGCATTTTGAAGAAGGCTTGGAGGAAATTGTTCATATGTTGATATGATGAGTTTTATGTAAAAGAAAGGACTGAGTTGAAATGGCGATAAACTCAGTTCAATCATCAAGTCAAAGTGAGACATGTAATGATTTTACGGGTCCGATTGAAATTGAGAAAGTTGAAACTCCTGATCGAGAAACCACTTGACTTGAATCTCTTCACCGGTTTTGGTAATTGACTCATCATCACAGTCTCTTTCTGATTTCTATTTCTACTTACCTTCTTCCTCATTCCTCATCCTATCAAACCATTCATTCACTTCAGATAAAACTTCTCAAACATACAATGACTACAACACGTCAATCTACTCGGGATCGATTCTTAGAAGTTTGGCCAAAGATTAAAGAGGTTTTATTAGATCAAGCAAAACAAGAAAAATTACCATCAGAAGCATTTGATTGGTTTGAAAGAGTAAGTTTTTTTTGGTTAAAAATCTCATTTAGAACTCCTTACTTCAAAACTCCTGCGTTCATGTCACAAACTATTACATACAATTTTCATCGATTCTGAATCTTTCTGAATCTAATGCTTTTTTTTTTCTTCCATAGAATTTAGATTATAATACACCTGGTGGTAAATTAAATAGAGGAACTGCTGTAGTTGATACTTTTAGAATTTTAAAAGGAGAAGAATTAACTTCAGATGAATTTTTCAGTTCTGCTGCTTTAGGATGGTGTGTAGAATTAGTAAGTCATGATTCATTAATCTTGATTTTGACACTTTATAATCATTTCAATCCTTCAAAGAAATCTGACTCTGCTTTTCTCGTGACTTTGTTCTAGCTTCAAGCTTATTTCCTTGTAGCAGATGATATGATGGACCAAAGTGTCACAAGGAGAGGTCAACCATGTTATTATCGTTTGGTGAATAATTCTTGATCTTATTACGATTCATAATTCGATCTAAAAATTATTACATTTTACTTCTCTGGATGATTCGAAAAAAAAACACTCTTTAGCCAGAAGTCGGTAATATAGCTATCAATGATTCCTTCATGTTAGAAGGTACTATCTATATCATCTTGAAGAAATTTTTCCGACAACATCCTTCTTACGTCAATCTACTTGAATTATTCCATGATGTAAGCCCTCTGTTTTCTTTTGATTCATGCTTCATTTCCATATAGTCATCTTTATTATTTTGAAGTTAATCCCATCTGTGTTCTTCTTTCCTAGGTAACTTTTCAAACTGAATTAGGACAATTGATCGATTTGCTCGCTGCACCTGAAGACCATGTAGACCTGAACAAGTTTTCATTAGAAAAGTTCGTTTTATTATACTATCTTCTTCACACACACACATTTCACAAATTGACCATGACTCCAATCGATTGAACTTAGGCATCAATTGATTGTTTTATACAAAACTGCATTTTACTCTTTTTACCTACCAGTGGCTTTGGCAATGCGATTGTATGGAATGACTTCACCAAATGACCCTGGTCAAAGTGAAAGTAACGAATGTAAGAATGGTACAAAGACTGATTGTTATCGTCAAGCCATGGATATCCTTTTGCCACTAGGAGTTTATTTTCAAGTTCAAGATGATTATTTGGATTGTTATGGTGATCCAACTGTGATTGGAAAGGTTGGAACAGATATAGTGGATAATAAGTGTTCTTGGAACATTAATACTGCTTTGAAGTACTGTACACCTGAGCAAAGACAAGTGCTTGATGTGAGTGTTCTTGATCTATATAATCAGCTCGTAAGATTTTTTGTGATCTTTCCTTGTACTTTGCTGATTTACTACTCTACAAACTTATAGGATCACTATGGTAAAAAAAATCCGGAATCTGAAAAGAAAGTTAAAGAGATCTTTTCAGCTGAAAATATTGATCTTTCAAAAAGGTATCAAGAATATGAATCAGAATCTTATCAAAAGTTGAATGGATTGATATCCGAAATTGATGATTCCATTCAAGGAGGTCTCAAACAAGATGTATTCAAAAACTTTCTAGCCAAAATTTATCAAAGAAGTAAATAAATTAGTTTGAAAGTCGATAAATATAAACCATATATATCATGGAATACATGTGAGCCGAAAAACTTATTTCTTAAAAAAACACATTTTGCATAAACATATCGTAAACATCTTCAGCTTCACAAACCATTTCCGTCATGCAATTCATTCAAATTCTCATCGTTTGGTTCTTCAAAAAAGTTTGTATTTGAAAAGATTTACATAGTTCGTCTTTCCAACAGAGCTATGTACATACATGCCTCTTGATCATCTCCCGATAGTGCCCACAAAAAAATGCCCAGAAATGTACTTTTAACAAGTTACAGATGAGAAAGGCTATGTATATCATATTCACTTCCTTGGGGTCAGACCTGTTAATATCGGGGTCGGGTCAATTGTTGTTATTTTACCTAGTGGTAAAATGACATCCTGTTTTCCTTCCGATCCATCTTACCATTTTGATTCCTCGTTACCTGATTTCATCTAGATTTCCAATCAAGAATTTTTTTTTAAATTCTCATCAAGTTCAGCAAGAAGTATTTTTCGAAGCTTTATTGATATTTTTACAGTAAAAGTGGAGTTTCATCATCTTTGTGGTTTTCTGGACTCGACTTGATTTGGTCAATATTCCCAGTTTTGCGCTAGTAGGAGCCTTTTTCAACCAACCCATTTTGTCGCCTCTTGATTAAGGTTCCAAATGCAATAGAAAAAAGTGAAGCATAAGATCATCCCTGGACACACCATAACTCTGTGATATCCAGAGGTTTGTACAGGTTGTTTAGGGTAGTGACACAGTGTTTGAGGTATGAAAAGAAACTTGTGGACAGCTGTGATTCCCTACAGTACAACTATGAGCATCCCTGGGTAGGTTTTTTATCAAGTTGTATTTTGGGCAGCATATTTTGGTGTACAGGTAGGGATGTAGATGCAGAAAGGGTGAGGTCCAAAATATAAAATCCTTGGCCTCTTTTGGCTTACACAAAGTGAATTCCAAAGCTAAGTATGCGCTTGAAGGTAAAACAGTGGATGAATTTGACAGGAACTTGGAATACTCCCCTTGATCTGTCTGACATAAAACCCAACATTTTTCTGGTTGCAAATTTCTTTTTGCCAAAACCTTGACATTTTTTGTCAGATACCTAAGATGGGAAGCTGGGTTTCTGAAAGTTTAGGATAACAACCTGACTTTTTTGGTCAGATACCTCCAAGTGCCAGGCCCAGAATAAAATCTCCAAGACCTGTGCAACAGCCTTGAGGCCCATGAGAAAGGTCCCAAGATTTCCCCAGGCGCTCCCACTGGGGCAGCCCTTGGCCAAACTGATGAATCTGATAAGTGCTGTCCACTGACTATCAGGGCCAAAGATTTTCTTTTTTGTATGTAAGTGTATATATCATGACCAAAGATACTTGTTGATTTAATTCACAAAGCTAATGTAAATAACATCTTTGATGATAATATAAAATATAGAAGAACAAAAACATTAAATCTCCTCTTCATTTTGGCAACCTGCAGTTTGGCAAAATGTCAAAAAAAGGCCATACATATAATTGTTTAAAGCTGCAGTTGCAAAATTTTGATTGATGAGAGAGAAAAAAATACTGTAGAACAACTGTTGATCAAAAAATCACAAAGTCCAATGATTGGGTGGTGAAATTCCTATAACACGCGAAACAAGGGACAATTTTCCCGCGGGAAAACCAAATGTATCTGACTCAGTTAATGAGCCAAAATGTATTATTTTGGTGTTATATCTGTGTTATTTGTACATTATGGCTCAGAAACTACATTATGTGTAATCGGTCTTCCCGCGGGAAAATTTTCTCTTGTTTCCTGTGTAAGGGTGTTGCTTTGTAAATTACAGTGGTGTTATGGGTTGAGTGAGGCATCACCAAGCCCACCAGGTGTAGGTGTTTGGCTGGGACCAAAGGTGAAAGACCCTGTCTGAACCTGAAATGTTTGGTCAGATACATGTCATTGAAGCACCAATTTCCTGACATTTGGGTCAGATACATTTATAGCCAATCAGGGCAAAGTCTGACTTTTTCAGTCAAATGGATAAGGGGCAACATTCCAGGGTCCTACATTACCCCAAATTTATGTATGTCCTGGTTTACAGCATGCAGTTTGAGGATTTTCCAAGATTCCAAATCTTGTATTCCAAAGTTAGCTCCCAGGCACCCAGCTGCCACAATACATTAGCATTAATATAGTGATGTACATATTGATGATTGGCCTTGTTTCCTCATATGTTCAATAACAAACTCCCCAGGATTCATTTCCATGATTCTGTGTTTTGTTTCACTTCACTTTGTCTGTTGCTTATTTTCCAAACCTCACACTGGCTTCAGGATGGGGGTGCAAAATAAAAAACGTTCCAGGGCACGCGCCACACGCCTACCAATCCCAAAAATCAGGTTGGTGCACCTAAAAAAGCTGTATGCCGCATAGTGAGAAATTGGGTCTTGCATTGTCTGATTTTTTTTGAACTCCACTTCAAGCTTTCTTCTCATCATCAACCTCATCATTCTAATCCCAAAAAGCAAAAAAAGAGTAAAAAGGCTCATCAAACAGCTCCGCAAACCAAAATGATTCTCCCCTCAAGTGGCTGTGGTGTTTGTTGGCCTGGATTTCTCATGGCCAAAGAACACAGTCAATCAGCTGGGCAAAAAGAGGCCAAATGCACCTATAACAACCTGGTGATGGATGGGGGACCTCATTTATTACGGAAGCATATCATCAGTCTTTGCCAATCAATTCCTGGTGACCAGAAATCAGCATATATCAACACTGGTCAGCCAGAATTTTCTGCTGAGTCCTCCAACTCAACTAGTGAAGCCCAGATGAAGTCACATTTGACTGAACTTCTTGTTCTCACTGGGTGTCTTATGCTGAAATACATTTTTTCCACTTTTTTCCATTTTTTTGCCCAAGCGCACCCTTTTTTCACAAAATGTGCCTAGGCCCGCCTTTTCTTTCAAGGGCTGCGCCAGGACCCCGGAATGCCCCTATACAGGGTAGTGATCTAAAAAAGTCCCTTTTTGACTTCCACAGATCCCCACCCCTGCCAAATGGCTAAGTCTGTTCCTGGCTTCACCCATATCTATAAGAGGGTCTTAAGTTTTCCTCAGACTTTCCTGAGACTGTCAAAGGCTGGCATGGATCACAAAAAGCAGTGGGCAGAAATGGGCAGAATCAAAGCGAGCTACATATAATCCCATAAATTTCAACTTTGCAGAAGTAAAAAGGGACTTTTTTAGATCACTACCCTTTATAGGGGCATTCCGGGGTCCTGCTGTGCCCCCATCCTGACCCTGGCTAATCATGTGCAATCACAGGCCCCAATCACTGGTCACTGGCAGGCCAGGACAACCAACTACATTAGAATTTTATGAGAATATTAGGAGAAAGTTATGAGAAATTTATGATGTGGATATCAAACAGGCATGACCCATTTATTGACAAGTTGTTGGGATACCACCAAAATTCCGATCATGTCATATGACATCATAAGAATGTCCAAAACCGCTCCTGTATTTCCCCACCAAGGATATACAGTCTATTACCCTTGATCACGTAAATTGACTGAGTTATTGAGGTTTGAAGAAAAATAACGGACAAAAAATACTATATTTGTACTATATGTATCACATGATTCCTGAATATCTTCCAGGTTTATAAATATACATACACATAAAATTTGATGTTCTTTTCCGCAACATGTGTCTCCACATCTTTCTCTCCTGCAGTCTTCCTGTATGAGCAGTATTTCCATGTGTAATTCTCCTGTATGAGCAGTATTTCCATATGTATTTCCTGATTGTGTGTGGAAGATTGATTTTCTACCCTTCAGGCAAATTGTGAGACAATACATGACCAAAATTGTTCTCCAATTGATTGATATACATGTAAACGGGATTTACCAAAGGTTCCTGCAATAAACTTTGCCATATTCTTCCCCCAATCAATGAATCAATAGGGGTTGGGCGAAAAACTGACCAACCGGTTTTGCGCCCTTGAGAATCAAGTCGAAAACAGCCGAAGATGGCCAAAATCGACTGGGTGCAGGTTTCACAGACTCGTCGCTGTGCCGGGTTACCCAAAGAGACCCAAAGTCAGTCTTTGGGTCTGTTTTTTCTCCTCCAGCCCCACCAATAGCTCAGCTTGAAGAACTGGGGTAAGTTTTTGCACCTTTCACGGATCTGTAAAAGGTGCAAAAAGGGCGTTTACGAGGCTTGTGGCACCGCAAATTGCTTTCGTTGTAAGAGCTTTTGAATGGTTAAAGCGTGGGCGTGATCACAAAACAAATCATACCGGTCAACATTTTTGGAAAGCAAAAAGACCAACAAAAATGTTGGTTGGTTTGTAGTGGCTTTGATATTAATTTTGAGCCATCTCGAAAGGATTCCCAAAAATTTGAACTTCGATTGAACGGTGTTTGGAAACTGGTTGGTCGGTTTTTCGCCCAACCCCTAATAAAAATTTTGGCTGCCCGTGTAAAATCCACAATTACATATAGAAATACTGCTCATACAGGTAGACTGTAGGGAAGAAAAATGTGGAGACACATGTTGCGGAAAAGAATAGCAGTTTTTATGTGTATGTATACTGATAAACTTGAACAATATTCAGGATTCTTGTCTTATGTATAGCACAGAAGTAGTATTTTTTGTTTGTGATTTTTTTTTCAAACCTCAATAACTCAGTCAATTTACGTGATTAGATAGACTATATATTCTTGGTGGGGAAATACAGGAGCAGTTTTGTACAGTTTTATGATGTCATATGACATCATCTCAATTTTGGTGGTATCCCAGCACCTGCCCAACAACTTTCCAATAGATGGCTGATAATTGTTTGATATCCATTTCATAAATTTCTGATAAATTGTTGATGTCAGTGGGTTGCACTGGCCTGCCAGTGACTCATGATTGGGGGCTGTGAATTGATACCACTTGCTAACTCAAGTTTGGGACCAATTACTATCCATCTCATTAGTTCTGTTCCTCTGAAAACTCCACTGTTTCCATGAAGAAGCCTACCCTGATCGTGTGAAAAATATGCAAAATGTTATGGCTGGCAACCATGTTAATTTCTGTGGGCTTTTACACCACGGGAGGGTTCTGTGTCTGCAGACCGCCTGCCACAAAGGCCGTCTGTAGTTGGACCACAGGGTGTCCTGAAATGGTCTTACGCCGTCTCAGAATGGTCTTCTTAGACCATTCTGTGACACCCTGGTCTGCAGACATAGAACCCTCTTGTGGTGTAGTTAACTATGCACATAAAATGAGATCATGGGTTGTCAAATTAACTCAACACTCTTGTATGTAGTCTGGACTTGTGTTGGACATTCCAGGCCCTTTGGTGGAATTTTGGACAAGACATGATTTTACAAGATTTCACTTTGCCGATAACCTGATCCCTCAAAGTGTTATTGGCTCCTGATATTATCAACATTCTACCCCACATCATCACCACATAGTAATTGAAAAATTTCTGGTCATTCTGTCTGCCTTGTTGTACGGATTTCAGAAATCAAAGTCATTCACATTCCCTCCATGCCACAGCATCCTTGCAGACCTGCGCTTCCAGTTTGACCACCCCTTCACATATCATCTACTTACATTTCTCATCCCATCACAACATTTGCAACCTGCACATTGTTTAGTTGCCACCTTTGTAATGAAACACCCTATGCACCGACTCTCATTATTCAATGGCCCATATTTCAAAACCTACTATGATGTGTTTGATTGATTTCATCACAAAATTTTGCCAACATTTTAAATAGAAACCTCAATCTTGATCATGATTTCCATGTTAAATGTCATGTATGTCCAGGAAACTCAGTCTCATCCCATTGTTTGTGTCTTACATACTCATCAGAAAAACCTGCAGGCATTTTTAGTTTTTTAGTCACAACGGCTTGAAAGTAAAACCTCTCAGCAGCTTGGCACTTCTACAGTGATTATTTTTAATAGCTCAAAACCAGAAAAATGATACAGCACAACCCTCAAAGTTTTAGGGATGATGTGTTGGATCTTCATCTGATATGACTGTCAAATAGGGGTGCTGTCTAAATTTCTTGGAGTGTGCATAACAAAAAATCATTGAATTCAGAGCTATCTGAAGAGAAACATACTGGGGCAAGGTAACTGTGTTTATCACATTGTATATGCTGGATGCTGAGGATTTGGAATGTGGGATATGAATGTGGTGATCAGGCTTGAAGTTGCAACCGTATTTTGCATGTACAGGGGTAGTGAAGCATGGAAAATAATTACCAACCTTTGCTTTCTAATGTTGTGACTTGGACCTGTATGTTTCCTGTCTCAAAATTATCTTCTGACTTTGCCAAAAGTATGGTGTCTGTTTCAGGCCTGTGTGCCACAAACTATTCTGGGTGTTAAAGTTGCTACTGGCACACTGTTAGTCATTGTCCACTGGAGTCCCACCAACTCATGGTCACATTATATACTATGACTGCAAAACCTCTTCCGCTCTATGAGTTCATCTTTTTTGTTTGACTCATATTAAAACTTATAAGAATTGATTCCTCCAAAACCAGATGATCAAATGTATCACTTTTGTGATCCAGAATACACAACTCACATAGACACAACTCTTTGCTCTTTGAATTTTTCATAATGTCAATTTGTCAATACTTTGATTGAAAAACTTTCACAATAAGATTCAATGATCTACTGGCTGAATTTCTGGGGAACATACAAAGCACTGTGGTTCTTGCCAGTATCTGTGACTTTTGTGACTGTTGTGGGGTTCATCAAATCTGTCAGAGTTTTATTGACTTGCTCAACACTCTAGTTCACTTTTGTATTTGTGTGAAGTCTCTCACATTGAATCACCTGATGAAAGAAGGGTTTAGAGACTGTCTTGAGCCAACCAGGATCACTCAGTGACAATGTACTTTGGTAGCATGGGGACAGCTCAAAGACACACTGGGGGCCCGGGCAGAGAACCAGCACCTCTCACATTGCTGTGACATGGAGTAGTCCAGTAGGAGTTATTGCCTGTGCAATTTGAGTTTGACACAAAAAACATCAATTCTTGTATCATTTGGGGAAGCTCTTCTAAATATCACAATGAAGAGTCAAAGTGATCAGGATGGCTTTTTGATTCTTTTCTTTTCACTGTGCTCAATCTCACTCAAAACACTATGAATTTCAAACTTCTAAATAATAATAAAATGAAGGTGATTCACATTGATGTGCAAGTTATTTATAAAACCGAATATCACTCCTTATCATACCCAATCAACACTCACTCCGTTCATCTCTCTGATCAATCAACTAACCACACGATGTACATTTATCTGTTTTTTTAATTCAAAGCCCAAGAGAAATATCAAGCCAAAAAACACCGAGTAGAGACAAGACCACAAAAAAATCATCCACAAAAGCTTTCGACACATGAATATCTAATAAGCAAGAAAAGATATAAGAGGCACAAAGACTGACACGACTACTTGCTGGTCAAAGAGAAACACCAAAAACACCAAAATGAAAATCCCACAATCAGAAAAGGATGACAAAGATTCTCGACACAGAACGCGACTAAAGTGCTTTAATTATTTATTCTTGTCTACTCTTTTGATTATTTTGCCTTGATAATCACAAACATACACACCTGCACAAAGGAACTTCGGAAATGAAATAACTGGAAAACACCAATGAAGTTATACTGTTGAGCTTGGGTGACCCAGTCAAATATATGCAATTCTCAAAAGATATAACCACTCGCGTTAGACAAGTTGGGAGCAAACGCATTTTCAGCCCAGCTTGAATTGGGATCATGATCGGGGATATTATGAGGGTTAGAATGAGCCTGAAAGAGATCGACGATCGATTCACCAAGTGAACCTCGCTCTGTAGGTGGAAGCGTTGCGAGATGATGAGATTGAAAACCGCTTGCTGGCATTGGGTGAGATGACTCAGTAGAGCCACTGTCAATCCGGGTTCCAAACATACTCAACGGGAACGACGCTTGAGCAGTATTTCCCAATACTCCGTCATTTGTGCCGGTGACCGATCCACTTGGGTTAGGATTAAACCCGCAGATATTTTGCTGAAGAGTACTCGCTCCGTCATTCTCGCCGCCCGGATGGCGAGGATTAGTAGGACTCGAGGTATCAGTCTCTTCGCTCCGGGTGCTTGGCTTAGAGTCAAATTCAGATTGAAAAGGCGTGAGCGCAGCAGGCCCAACCTGAGGAACATGTTGATGTTGTTCATAACTTAAACCGACTGTGTCATGAGCCACTTGATTGGGAGAAGTGACGAGCGGCAGGTGGGGAGCAAAGGTGGGATAGGAGTGAGTCCGTTGTTGCTGATGATCAAAAGGTGGGATCGCTTGATTGGTGGTATGTGTGTAAGTATCCTTGTGGGCAAAGTTGAAAGTCGGACTGATCGGTAGCGATGAAGGCTGCGAAAGTTTATCGACAGTCGGCTTTTCTATAGCGGTTTCATTCACGGATAAGGGAGCAGGTGCAGTTGGATGGCTACCGACATGTGGCACAGGTGAAGCGAGAGGAAGGCCGATCGGGTGATTCGACGGGAACATATTGGGTGTTCTGTAAGGGTGATATGCTTTGGGCTGCATGTGTACCGGATCCCCATAGTTGATTGGAGGTAGAGGGCTGAGTCGAAGCTGAGATCGCAGCTCATTGACCTGAGCTCGTAAATAGTTGTTCTCCCTGATCAAATGAAATTCGCGCATCTGGAATGCCCAATACGATCAGGATCGATCATACATGATGATGGGCTAAGAGAAATGGACTCTTACCTGTGATTCGGATATCCATTCCAAGCTCTTGTTGACAATCACACTCTTACTCGGGCGTTTTACGTTTCCCATGGTAGGTAACGCACGAGCCAGTTCAAGAAATCGGCCGTTAAGAGACTCTCTCCTGGCACGTTCAATAGCATTGTGAGTCGCACGACGCTCGGCCGTAGAATTTTTGAGTCTGCTAGCTTGAGAATTCATCTTTGAATCTTTCTTCTGAGCATGAGAATGAAAGGTAGGATAAATGTTTGAAGGCATTCCAACACTCTCAAAACTATCGTCCTCCAGGTCATCATCATCGGGGAAGATGTTATTGTTTGCGTGATCGGAAAGATTTGGGTGCTCGTGGTTGGCGAAGCTGGGCGGCGAGACCGAGACAGAATGATCGGATCCGCTGGTAGCCGATGGAGAATGATTGGGAACAAGGGAATGGAAGCCATTGTAGCCCGACATGTCTAAGAAGTCTTCTCTTAACCCGGTGTTGGGCTGTTGAGAATGGGTATGAGTAGATGAAACGGCCATTGATCTTTGTTGCAAGGGATGTCAAGAGTGAAACTTTGTCAGCCCATTTCTTCCTACCATTGCGGACAATTTCGTTGCAAGACGCTCCCTGTCCAGCAGGATGTGATCATGAGATATTTCAAACATACCGGTTCGGTCCTTCCTACCTAGTTCAAATGTTGAAAAGATGTTTGAAGCACCTGGGAAAACAAGACGTGTGTCTTGAGCCATGTTGACACAAGAGGGATTAAAGGATGTGTACGTACAATAAGAAAATGCCTGGAGATATACTGAATGAGGGGAAGCTATACGTATAATCTTTTAAATATATATAGGTATCACGTATATCTATGATATAAATCAAACACAAGTTGTGGTTGAATTCGAAAACAGACTGAAGAGGTCGACGGCCAGCACAATCTCTTCTATTCAAATTGAATAGGAAAGCAGCGTCCAGTCAGAGGGTATTCGAAGGGGATGAAGTTTGAATAGAATAAGGTCGGAGGTTGGATCGGCTAAAGTGATGATGATCGACTGCGGAAAGGCTTGCGGTAGCGAAAGTAGTGATTCGAGTGAAAAAGCTTTAAGGCGGGGAGGCGATTGAGATGATACCGCGGGTCGCGAGACTGGATGAGTGATGAGGGGAGAGTCATGAGGAAGATGAAGGTTGACGGAGAGACGGAAAGAAAAACGTAAACAAAGAACCCATGATCAGTGATCAGTGATTGAAGCACGGTGACAAAGAGGAAGACTGAATGCTGAATGCTGAATGCTGAATGCTGAATGAGGATGTGTGTGAATGTATTGAAATGATGGTGAATTTGGTAAATTAGAAATCTGAAGGAATTGATGATTTAACAAAATTGGATCATCAAAAGGAAAATCAACAATCACTTGAATTGATTGATCAGTTCTATTGTGCTTGAATAGCAATGGTGATGATTGCAAAATGGTAAGCAGGTCTATGTCTAGCATCATCAAGTGCTTTAAACCAGAAGCGCTACTTTCTATGGTCAGCTTGACTAAATCTGATTAAATCACATCGGAGAATTTATGAAAGAGATAGAGTGAGAGATAGAAATGAAGAGATGTAGTCAAAAGCATTGAAAGCTGGTCGATCAAGATGGTAAAGAGTACTAATCAGTCAATAATAGACCCGATCGATCGTTGACCAATCATCAAACCGTTCATCACTCATATCATTTGGTTTGATAAAAGACGGAAACTTGATGGTAAACCAGTCTTATCAAGGTGACTTTACCACACCTTTCATCAGTTAAGCATGATCACAAACATCATAGTGACGGTGCTCGCTAAGATAAAAGGCCAAGAAGAGAAAGCCGATCAAGGATGCCTAGAGCATTGTCTCCGTCCCTCGTGATCCGGCAACCAGATTGCTTTACGTGGTATATATTCAAAGACTTCATCAAGGATAAAGAATGAAAAGCGAAATACAAGGCGAATGAAAAGAAAGAATGATGAAGAGAATGTGAATTGTACTGACCGAATCTCAAGCGTGCCCAAACGGAGAGAAGAGGGGATTGATGGTCGCGAGACGAATCTCAAGCGTACCGAAAGGCGGAAGTGAGAGGAGGAGAAGGGAAAGGGAAAAAGATGATGAAGGAGTTGAAGTCAAGAGAAGAGAGAAAAAGAGGGAGAGAAGGAGTCGAAAGAGGGTGTATGATTTATGTAAATCATCTCGACAAAACTACAAAACCCTATCCTTTGCCTTGTACAAGCGCACCCACCAAGCCATTTGAAACTGAACAAAACTCAATTTGTATCAAAAGCCTGATATTCAAAGCTATTCAAAGTCTACTATCAATACACAACAACAATTGAATTTATCAAGTGGGATTAAATGATCTTTAGAATTTCAACTTTTTGACGCTAAAAAGGCTAAAATATGTAAACAGTTGATGAAGAAAGAAACCAAAGATATTCATTGGTTGGGACGAGCATCAACCGGGAGCCCCCCCTTATCTACGACGGCTGACTCGAACGGCATGAATTATTAGCAGCTTTGTCAAAGATTTTCCCTTGGAATTGTTATTAGGAATCTTTTGAGGAATTGAAAAAGGCTTTCTCGCTTGTCAACAGCTTCAAAAATCCTCAATGCGTTGGACCACCAAGCTTCACCGCATCTAGTGGATATTTCAGGAGGACGTGCTGTGCTCTGACGTACTTCAACTAGGAATGTTGAAAGATAGCACAACTCTTTCTATAACAGCTCTTCTATGGCAGAAATCTTGATGAAGTGCCCAAGAAATAGGTGCTACTTAAGCTCTTTTGAGGAATTTTTAGGAAATTTGACATCTTCTAGAGGATGGTTTCATGTTCTATATCCTTGCCAAACGGTCAGAATTTGGGTTTTAAGGGATCAAGAGTCGGAAAAAGCTCTGTTCAGAAGGAATGGAAATCATCAGGCTTTCTTCAAATCGTTCAATCCTTTAGGGCGCTCTCCGGTGTTGGGCAAGTATACTTTATCCGTTTGAAAGAAGAAGAAAAAAAGATTCCATTTGATTCTTTCATCTCCACTTCCTTCATCCACGGACTCGTAACAAAAGAAAGAAGATTTCATACCAAGAAAACTCCATGGTGCGATCATCTTATCTTGAGTGAAGTGAAAACGCCATCAGAAATTCACTTTTAAAAACCTTACATACAAACTATGAACACATCAAAAGGTAAGTCTATCACAAAGACAAACTGAGAACAATTTTTCCCGTACAATTAGTACACTTTGAAGTCTTTGTATCGATTTTAGGCTTCCTATGTACTTCACAGTTTTTGTGTTTCCTTCACATTTTCTTGCTATTTGATTTCTTCGTTGGTCACAGAGAAATGTAATTCAAAATTGCGCCAGGTAAGGTCTTTTTGATCTGATCTGCGAAAGCCAAAAAATCAGCTAGCCTCAGCCAAGCAAATCACAGACCAGGGTGGCGTCCGGGCAGAGGTATTATACTGGGGTAGGCTTTGTTTGTGGAGAGGGACTGAGAGGGACTCAATTTTGAAGAAATTGTATGTATTTCAACCAGATGAGGAGGTGAATAAATAAGGCGGGGATGTCTTGGCTTTCTTTATCATTTTTTTATCATCGTGATGAGTTTATTCACACATCAATACAAAAAAGGAGGGAGAGGCCGAAAGGATAAAGTAGGGGATAGTCACCAAAAGTGGATAAGGATTCGAAGTTTTCGTCATTCATATGATATATCAGATTGACTACGGAATTCGATCGCTTGCGGTTTACACAATTCGACCCTCCTCGCAAAAATCAACTTTCACGGTAACGCACTAAATCTGAATGCGGGACATCAGGCGGCTTAAGTGAAAAATTGAATCTTGTGCATGTCATTCATGTTGAATCATAGATTTTTACTCGGCTAGGGCTATGGTACTGGGGGTACGCACCCAAGAAGATACCACCAAGTTGGCGTTGAATTTGTTTATTCGAGAAAAGAATCATGGGATTTGTATTCTTATATGATGTCATCAACCATATGGCATGAAATACCTCTTGTGATCTTCATTATCATCATTTCTTTCTCTGGGGGGTAACTTCATGAGCATTTTTTTCAAAGGCTTTTAGCTACAAAAACCAAAGTTACCATCTCGAGTAGGACTCTATGTATACCAATATCAGAAATCTATGTTGTAAAAATCATCTCTGCATCTCCTATGTCTCTTATCTTTCAAGCTGATACATGAAGTTTGACGACCGGACCTGCATGAAAAGATCTCTATCTGGTGGTGTCACACTCTAGCATTGATTTCATCATTCCTGCAATGATATGACTGACAAGCCTTCCACGACTTGTGAGTTTCGAACTCTGACTGGTAAACTGCTGGGTTTTACCTCGAGCAAGCTTTACACTTCGTGTATCACTGCGCAAAGATTGTAGCAATCTCAGTTTCGGGTTGCTCATGATACTATGATACACACATCCTTTCGATGCAAGCACGAACCATTTGTGACGTCTTGGAAGTCGTGATGATGCATTCAATGTGTGATATCTATTATCTACTTGCGCATCGAACAAAAGGGTTCCCTTGGTTACAACCAATGATGATGGTTTGCTGGTCGAGAAGTGATCGAATTCACCTCGGATCGAGATCACATCCTTGTATAATTCAGTGGCACGAAAAAGATAAACTTTCGATCAATCTCAGTTTCTGGGATACGATCTGTGTGCAATCTCTGGGATGCAGTTGGTTAAAGGGTGGAAGTAATCAAGTATTTGATTTTAGAACTCACCCTCCTCTCTATGTAGTCAAAAATAAAATAACGAGCTATTGGTTGATGGTTCTGTCTGATTCTATGTAGAGATTCGATCCCAACGACCTCAAAGCCATGTAGATATGTAGATCGGGGCTTTGGAAGCACGCAAAAAAAGCCCCCCTCAAACTCTAGCCCATAAACTTAGCAAAAGTCCCTCTAGCCCAGACCATCTGGATTTCCCAGGACTTGAGTCTGTACGTCAGATCAGTCATTTCGGCACATACAAGTTGTTGAATGAGGGATGTGGGAACGGGGTTTCACAAACACCAGCATTTGTTGAAAATTGCTCAAACTTTAGAAAACTGTCTTTCTCTTCCTCTTGTTTTTAATCTATGTGGGTAAAATTTTCCCCACCATCAATAGTGAAAGTCGGATGATACATACAAATCTGCTCACTATGATTTCTTCTCGTCTTTTTCTTTGTAACAATTGCATGTCAGAGCTTACAGGTTAAGAATTGTGTCAGAACTGACCATGAGGAGGTCAGGCAGAGATAGGGGTCGCGAACATAGTCTGAATTTTTTTAGGATCTTGATTATAAGCTGTGGTCTGTCACAAAGGCTCACAAAGGCAAACTTCGGGTAGTGCTTTGTGAACTCTGTTTTGAACTCCACTTTGTAGGCGGATAGAGTTTGACTCCATCCTCAATTATTGACGCAGTCAGTTAGGTGCAGGTAGCACTGAGCAGTGGTACTAGTATGCGTGCGTGCCACAATCTGATATCCATGATTGCATGCCATCAAAAATCTTCAGGGCCCGGCGTATTAGTAATCGAGCAAACTTTTTTTCGAGGCTCTACGTCGAGACTGATCCCAAGCTGATGATTGAATGTACCAAACCAATCATAAGACTTTGTAAGCTTGGGCTTAGTCAGGCTTAAAGACTTTGGGGAGAATCTCAAACCCTTACACAGCACAAGCTGCTCATCAATGAAAACACTATTCCTAACTGAAATCTTGCGCAATACGCTTTGCATACATTTGACGCGAGCCTGAATCTCGGAAGCTGGCATCTCTATGTATACCGGTCTTTCAAAACCCGAATCACAGGAGCTGTGACCGGGAGTATGTAATAAGGGATTGTCGCGAATAAAATCTTAGCGTCGCCGGGGTTGCCAATGCTGTGAATGATTTTGATCAAGTATCAGAGAGTGAGATTCACCGTATAGTTGGGTCAATGCTCTCAGGTGCTGTGGAGTGGACTCCAAGCCAAAGTAGAGTCCATCGCACGTTCCGGTCCGAATTCATTGCTTTGGGACGACTTTCAAACAGACCCATGACGAAATGACATATCAGGCAGAGTGACGGTCAGTCTGTGAATGATTGAAAACCGGGAAAAGAGGGAGTGGTTTTTTCGGGAACGACTGCGGCTGTGGTGAGTATGAAGAGTGATAGAAAGAATGAAAGATTTTGAATGGCATGTAAAGAGTCTTCTTTGACGATGGCTTACAGACTAGATGACCGAGCATGAAATTGAGCAGCAATGGCTTATCTTAGCCGGTTTTCCACCTTTCAAATGCGATTTTGCAAACGTGATTAGCACCGAATGAAGAGAGGATTCGAGAGCTCTACGTTGCTCGGTAATACATGAGGAAGAAGCCTGTGAATTCTGATAACAGCAAACTTTGAAGGGTTTGAAGAAGACGTATGTATGCGCTGGAAGTGAGTATAAAGGTACGACTTCTGGAACAGCGTGTTGACCGTCAGCGACTCTCGTCCTGCAATCCCAGTCATCTATCGTCAGTTAGAATCTGATACAAAGAATCATCCATTTCACTTGATCTTATAAACACTTTCTTACATCCTCTGCCGCCATTAGACTTGTCGCTATTTTTCCATCATAACTGTATAAAAATAGCAGAATGTCCCAGATCTTGAAGGACTACCAGAATCTAAAGAGCAATGACTCTACCAACCTCAGTGGCCTATCTGGCAAGGAAGCCAAACCGGATCGTTATCCTGCTCCTTTCAAGGATCATGCCAGCGCCGAATTCCTCAGCATGAGTGGGGAAGAAGAAAAGGCTTATTATGACCAAGTCCGTCTTTCACAAACTATTCCGATGCAACGTTTATCTTTGATTCTGGCGCTGAACATCCTCGGCCACTTTCTCTCATCTTTAGATCTACAATTCTCTCTATCCTTTGCAAAAGACTGCCCTTACGGCCCATGCGATTGATCTCCAACGCTCGGCGAAGCATCGAAGTTCATGGAGATACCGATTTGAAGCTTTGCCAATAGTCGCACTCTTTAAATCAATGTTCACTGCGATGTATCATGCCTCGATGGTGCTGATCAACAATCCCATGGCGCCAGTGACTGACACTACCAACTGGCTGTATGCGGTCGTTGCATACACTCTCATCTATGTCACACTCTTCATAGTCAATTGCGGACTCGTGGCCAGTAAGGCTGTTTTGTCGTTGTCCATTCTAAAGATCTACCAACGCTGATACGTATTTGCATCCCATAGTGCAGCTTCTTGGTGTTCCTAAAATCATCTCCTATTTCTCGAGGACTTGGGGTTCAGGTTATACTATGATTGCTTGGGCTGACACAAGTTTGTATTCTATTCTTTGAATCTGTTGAACTTGTCCATTTCATTGACTAAAGCGATGCGACCTTGAACAAGCTATGTACGACAAACAACGAAAGACGGTGGACTCGGCCAGAAAGGTCCTTTCAGGAAATCCCGAAGATTACTTGCTTCCCCTCAAGGTTAGAAGCCACCCTGACATGGCCACCTATGCAGCCTCTTATCGACGACATCTAGAGTTCAATGTGGATGTTGCGAAAACCATTCTTCTCATGTCATCTATTGTCTATGAGCGTAATACGACGTTTGTTCAAAAAGCTGCCGATTATCCCGATTCTGCTCGTCTGTATCTACTCAAGAGTGAAGAATTTATGTACCGATTGGGTGTTGAATGGGGCTGTCAATTCATCTCCGTTGCCGGTAAGCAGTCTCTCCCGAGCGCTAATGTGATTCTGATGGAAACATGAGCACTCACTGGTCGATGTTTGCCATTGATCAAGACTTTCAAAATGTCAGTGGGCCCTTTGCTGGAGCGTTTTACAATCTCGACAATGAAGGGAATCCGTTCATGGTCGTCGTCTTCAAAGGAACTAGTCCGGAGGCTCTAACCGAATGGATCACTGACGCAACATTTGATCAAGAAATGTGTATAGATGCATTGGGTGAGTACACTTGCCTCCATATCCATGCTAATCGTCTGCATTTGAACTAAGCTTTCCTCGTATTAGGCATGGGCTTCGCTCATTCCGGATTTTATAGTAGTCTGTTTCCGTCCGCAAATTCCGGTGCAAAAATGTGGCCTTATAGTAAGTTCATTTATGCTATTCTGAACTCAGATCTGATCAAGTTTTGATGTGATACTGAAAAATCTTCTTTTCCGCTCATTGTAGTGAGGATCATAGAAACTGTGAAGATGGTGGCCCAACGCGCATACGACAATCAGATCAATGATACTGGGCCCAAGAGAAAGTTGAATCTCTTCGTCGGGGGTCATTCGTAAGCTTTCGATCAATTGAGGCTCATCTCTCAAATACTTGTTAGTTTAGGCTGACCCACATCTTATTCTTCCAGCCTGGGAGCCGGGATGGCATCCTTGTTCTATGCACGACTGCTGGAATCCCCAGGTGATTTGGGCGAGAACATCGTCTTGCGCGATGCGTATTGTTTCGGAACTCCCAGGGCATGCGGTGCAAAATTAGCATCGCGAGTCGAATACAACCTACGCAAACCTGAGAATCTTGGCCGGACGCTCTGGCGGGTAGCGAATCGCTCCAGCTCCAGGTGGATTGGGGACGTGGTGACCCGTAAATAAAATTTGCCCTCAACTTGACTAGATCCCTCACGTCGATAGAAGCTGAAGCTTTCTTTTTGAGAAACTTTTTCAGGCGTTCCTCCTGGGTTGGCTGATCGAAGGGAGAATCGTGCCAATCTCAAAGAGGGAAGTTTGTTATCGTACGCTGCGATAGGAGTACCTATAGACCTCACGGTGCGTAGTACAAGATATTCTTCAGAAGTACTGCGTTTGAGGTCGATTTTTATCACTGATGAGATTTCTTCTTGGCCCCCGTTCTAGCCAAACCGTATAGCTCCCTTTTACACCGTGGGTGATGTCCCGAGTGGATATCAAGTCAAAGTGGTCAAAGCTCTTAGAGAGCCGGAACACGAGCTCGAGGACGCGAAAAGAGAGGAAAGTGGGTTTTTTCCACCACATCCGATTGCTTTTATGGATAAAATCATGTCTACGGCCATCCCCATGCGTAAGCCCTCAACTCTTACAGAATATCTTTGTATTATTGCCTTCTAACTGATGATTCTTTTTTGGGATTCGTTTCCTGGTGATATCTTCTGGATTGTCATCGCAGTCCATGACCACTGTAAGTCCAAAACTTGAAAATATCCTGGATTTTGGGCCGTCTAGATTCCCTATTGATTCCTTCATCTCTTCTTTGTGCCTATTTAGTTCCGGGAAGTTACTTTGCCGCATTAAGAAAGGTAGGAGCTCAAGTTTTTGACAAATCGGACTCCCCTTCGTCGGACGGCAAAACACCATCATCCCCTCAACGTGCTTTGGGGCATGAATCTTCAAGAGCCAACAAGATGTCACCCGAAACCCACATCTTCAATTTGGGCGCTGGCAATGCAACTTCGGCAAACTTGACTGCTGGATGAGAGAGACAGGAGGTCAAACAGTACTGATCAAATCTGTGTCATATATCTGATAAAAGAATCCATTTCATCTCACCTAAAAACTAAACTATCATGTATTTACTCAGCAAAACTATTGCAGGTGCCTGTAATGATGTATCGTATATTATCTTTATTTACCGAAAATCAAGTTAACTTTCAAACACTAGCCGTTGCGGTCTATGAACAAGATTTCTATTTCTATTTATGAGAGTAAAGTTCTTTGTGTGGGAAGCGATGGGTGACAACCCAAGAAAATGTGGAAGAAAAGAACCAAGTTATCCTTGCCTCTTGAACATCGCAAGACACGGAAGGGTCATATGACTATGCCACCTTAACCATCTCACATTGGACATGTAGATAGTTTTAGTCCCTCGAATGTGTGCTCATTTACTGCCTTGTAATTGATTGATTCAACTATTCATGATTCTTAGCAGGATTGTTATTTTACTTATGCCTCGAACCTCAAACCCACTCTGTGGTTCAAGGACTTGTTGATCAATGTGGATATCTCTCATGTGTTATTTGGCATAGACCCGTTGTCAAAAGAATGCCAAAGAACAAGTTTTGGACTTGGTCGAGTTGAAATCTCTCTCTTCAAAAATAAGCTTTCTTCACTATGATGAAAGAAAAAAGTCAAACCAACTTCAACCTCCAACTTTGAATTTTGTAAAAAATGGTTTTTGTTTTGTTTTCAATCAAAGAACATAAAAAATAGTGTAAAAGATTTCTCTAAAGGAAAAAAAAAGAAATTTTCAAAGATATCAAATTGATAAACATTCGAAACGCGTCAAAAGAAAAACCAAAAAAACAAGTTGAGAGTTTCAAATCAAATCAAAGATGAGAATCTGATGAGTTGATTTAGATTTGGTTCTTTCTTGTTTCTTGATCTTCAAGTCTAATTTGTATTTGATTCTTTTTAAAATCCTAAATCATCGTGAAATGGCATCTTATGTACATTTCCAATCGCTACTGTTGTAGGACGAGTGTTGAGTAAATTCTTAGCAGCCTGGATTGATTGAATTTTTTGTTACAAAAAGATCATGATTAGTATTCATCAAATAGAATCATAAACCAAGAGATTAGATTGATAGAAAATAATCACTTTAATGACAGCATCCGGTTTCACTTGTGAATATGAAGAATAGATGTCTTGTACTTGTTGGGGTGAGGGACCAGTTCCATGAATCTATAAATTGAAAAAGGGATTCAAAGCGATTCAATAAGTCAATCGATTCCCATCAAAGGATTCAAAAGAGAAGAAAAGAATGAAAGTTGAAAACAAACTTGTGATCCAATAGTCTCAGCCTTGATGAGATTACTTTCTAATCCACTTGCAACCAAGAATTGAGCTTTCTTAACTGCTCTAGTGACACTTTCCTCATCAATTCCATTACCAGCTGCAATCTTCTTTAATTCAGATAAAGCTTGATGAGTGACTGATTTGACTTGATCACTTGGAGCATTAATGATAAAACCAAATAGACCGGAATCCGAGTAAGGTAAATGAAACGATTTAAGAGGTAAGGAAGCCATAGGTGTAGTACCATTTGACCATTTGATTAAACTAGGTGAAGAACCTAATAAATGTTGTAAGATTGTAAATTCAGATCGACTTGAATGATCACCACCTTCAAAACCGATCAGAAACGTATCTTTTCCTCCATGAGATCCTTCTACGTGTGATAATCTTAATTCACCACCATAATATTTTGATTTTTCTGAAGTTGAACTAAGTGAAGTTGAAGTAGTGGGTCTAAAGAATTGATCGACTAATTTAACTAATGAATCAGATTCGATACCAGTTCCGACAACCAAGTTTTGAGAAGATTGACCAAAAGATTGAATGGCGAAATCGACAGCTGATTGATGTGAGATTTCAGTATGAGGAGTAGCAAATAAAGAATCACCTAAACCTCTTCTAAAGGCTAATTGATGTGCTAAATCAATCGCTTTTACATTCGGATCTAATTGAGCTTGATGATAATCTGAAATCACGCCTGGAATCACTTCTTCATTAAATTCATGTGGTAAGAATTTTGAACAAGTTAATACATCTCCAAGTAATTCTGCAAAGAAAGCTCTGTGAAAGCAAACCCCAAAAGACAAAGAAGAAGAAGAAATTGAAATTGATCAGGATTTTGGTTCGATTGATGGGGTTTTCTTTCTAAATGGAGTGTAAGATCATCATCATTAGAATTAAAAGTTGACTGACTCGTTTCCTTTGATGAATTCAGCATTCAAGATAAGATGTTCACGAGTTAAAGTAGAAGTTAAAACACCGCCTAATAATTCAGCTTCACGAACGACACTTAAAGCACTACGTTTTTGAGTCGACTATGAAGCATATCGATCAAATCAAGATGAATTTCTAGTCCAAGGTTTCGGTTGATTTTAATTGGGGTTTTGACTTACCTTGAAGACCAAGTTTTTAAGTACATGAGAAAGACCCGGTAAAGTTTGATGACGGGATCCAGCTTTGATGAAGACTGAGATGGAAGCTGTTAATTTAGATTGATCAGAAGTCGATAAAACTTTTAAACCGTTTGAAGTTTGATGAGATGAGATTGAAGTAGGTGATAGAGTAGAATGAGTTGCATAGGTTCTTGTGATTGACCTCAAGAGAGAAGCAGGTGAAGTGATTTTGATCATCTTGTTTGATTGAAGTTGAAGATTGGCTGAGTTGACTTCTATGCTGATGGGCAATTCAGAATGAGATCGATCATCAATCGGAGCGCACAGGGGAAACTGGATAATCACTCAGTATAAGCATATCCATTCTAAAACCATATACCATACCATATCACCATTTTCATCATCACCAAAGAAGAACGAATCAACAATTCATAGAAACAACAACAGGAATCATGTCAAAGCTCAGAAACTTATCACTATCACCTCTTCGTCCTTCATCAAGATCATCCAACTCTCAAATACAATCATCATCTTCTTCAAATCAATCTTCAAACTTTTCATCCACATCTTTGGTCAGTCGAAATCAATCATAATTCTTGTTCAATTCATATTTCAAAACTTACCTGTTTTATTTTGAATGATCTAGCATCAAGTATGGGTACAGAAAAAATTGGATGTTAAACTTAGAGTCGATCATCCAGAATTGGGTAAATCTGGTAAGTAAATTTGATAAATTCATTTCAAAATCGAAAACCAAATGACCAAATCACTCAAAAACATCTTAAAATGTTTTCTTTAGGTCAGGTGATTCGAGTTAAACCAGGTCATATGAGACAAAGACTTTATCCATCAGGTCAAGCACTTTATTGTGCAAAAGATGGGATTCCATTTCATCATTTAAATCCAATTCATTCAATCAAATCACCACCTATTGCACCTTCACCTGGTCTATCTAGACCTATCATCGAATCCATCAAACGATTAGGAATCAAGATAAATTTAAATAAACAAGAAATCAAACAAACTGAAGAACTTCGAGAACTTTGGATCCGTGAACATAATTTAAACTCCCCTGAACTTTCAAATCAGATTGAACCTATCACGAATCTTAATAAATCGTCTTTAAAAACTATTGTGAATCCGATTCCAAAAGGATTAAAAGAAAATTTAAGAAGCTTGATGAATTCATTTGATGATTTAAAACCCTTGATCGTCTTTAAAAGAACAGGACCTAATCATTCAGAAAGTTTATATGCATCAATCAAACCGGAAGAAATCATTGAAGAATTAAGTTTAAAACTTAATGATCGATTCGATCTATCTGATTTAAAAGAATGGATTAAGATTAAAGAAATTTATGCGATTCAAAAAGATGGAAAAGAAAGGATTAAAGGAAAATCGAATGGGATTAAAAGTTTAGGTGATCATTTGATTAGGTTTAGTTTAAGTCATCATCATAATCTAAGTGATTTATTGAAAGATGATGAACAATTTGAATTTTTAATTAGAGTGATTAAAAATTAAAAACAAAAATCAACATCAACATCAAGCGATTATCAAGTTATACCTAGAAATTTAGAAAGATTGTAAATAACAAGAAGAAGAAAATAATCAACAAATTGTTTTGATTGGATGTAATTGCAACTAATCTTTTCCTTCTCACAATCTAGACGTATAATCGGCTGATCCAAGGAATCATAGGAGTATGATCACAAAATTTGATCATAGCGTGAACTCACAGCTAAGTTCTCTAGCACATCAAATCCACTATGGGATGATTCCATGCAGGGTTCAACTACGACAATCCGTTCTCAAATCACCTTACTCACAGTTTCAAAATCTCCCATTGAATTATGTATACATAGTATTGCACCGCATCTCATTCCACTCATTTCATACTAATGACTAGACAGAACTATACCAACTGGGTGGACGTTCCAGATGTCGGTATTCGGAACGAGCAGCCAGACTACTGATTTCTTACTCATTGTCAGTCCAATTGATCGTGCGAGCTATTTTTTTTGCTTGAAATGGTCTGCAAAGCTGAGGAAGGACTTTCTATTGATATGTTGGTACTTTGAGGCCGAAGGGAAGTTGGCGCGTCATGATGTTGAGTGTAAGCTTCGAAGGATCACCATTGACCGACGCTTTGTTACAGACCGCGAGTCTAGAACAGTCCCTCTCTTTCCTAGAACTTGAAGACTATCCTATTCGGACTCCGGAGCCAGCCAGAATGTTTAAACAGACGTTCTTTAGGTAGGTCTAAGCTTCCGAGTAGGCCCAGTGATCCCAATGAAAGCTCTCTCATCGGAGCCTTCAAAGGTCTAGATCAGTTGGGATCATTAGTTGGAAAGATAAGAAAAAGAAGGCGAATTGGAAAATGTTGCAGTAGTGATGGCTGTGATTTTGTTAACGGAGACTCGAGAGGTTGAAAAATTATTATGAGCCTTTAGACTTGAGGTAACTTCTGAATCCCAGCCTACATATCAAGACCAACTTGCCTTCTATCAATCGACCAAGAAATGGCTCGAATGGCAAGAATGATGGAGAGAGGCGAACTTTCTATGAAATATGTATAACTAGTACTCAGAATCTGTTCTTCCCTTCCTTTTCTTTCAATTCGAATCACATTCTAGCAATAGGTTCAATCCAATTTTTCTTATCAAAATCTTACATCTTCCTCAACATTTACTCTTCTGCTTTTTAAAGTTTTGATAACTTCTAAAAAAATGTTCTTCAAATCTAACTCTTTCACCCTAACACTGGTTGTTATTTTGATCTCTTTTATCAGTTTCATTCCGTTTATAAATACTTTACCACATTCAATTTCTCGTCATCACAAGCAATACAGACATGGTAGTGGTCGTTTATCTTCAATTGGGTTTTATAAGGGTGAATCTTCTCATCAAGATTATAAACAGGCTGGATGGTTTTCAATGCCTACCATGGTTTCAATGCCTACCATGTAAGTCAATTCATGGGTTTCTTATACGGTTTTTTTAATCAACAGAAAGACTGACGTTGTGTTGTATAAAAAAACTTTAGATATCAGCAAGTGGCACAAGTTGACCCGTTGATTATCAAAGTAAGTATCAAGCGTTTTCTGTTGACTCAAAATAGGTTTTTTGTGCATGTGAAAAATTCCATTGATTGATTATGCGCAAGTATTAATGCAATGCCAAGAGTTATGCACTGATGAAGATTGACTTGTTTTGCTCTGCTTACTTTAGGAACAAAGCCCTGTTTTCGAGAAGATTATTACGACTTTTAATAAACCGTCAGTTTGATTCACATCTCGGATTTCTTTTTTGGTTAAATATTTCAGACTTATCATTTCCCTTTTCTTCTTCACAATAGTTATCCATCAAAACCTATTTCAAACCCTTTACCACCACCTACCTTTATTCCTACTGTAAATCCATCTCCAAAACCATCAACACCTTCAAAGCCGCCTGCTTCGAAGCCATCGACTCTCAAAGCACCTACTCCTCCTGCTGCGAAAGTTGTTCCCAAACCGGCTGGTCCTGCTGCACCCAAGGTAGTCACTAGCTCTCCGGCACCGAAGGTCACTCCGGTGCCTCTTCCTACCAAGAATGTGGCTATCCCTGGTCCAAATCCGGCTCTGAAGAGCGCGCCAAAGCCAGCTGCACCGAAGCCAGCTTCAACGAAGGCTACTCCAAAGCCAGCGACGAAGCCAGCTCCACCGACGGCTAGTCCAAAGCCAGCGCCGAAGCCAGCTCCATCGACGGCTCCAAAGGCAGTTCCAAAGCCAGCTCCGAAGCCAGTTCCAGCTCCGAAGCCAGTTCCAGCTCCGAAGAAAGTTCCAAAGCCAGCTCCAAAGAAACTTTGATCGACGGCTCCTTACCGTGTCTCCTCTCAGCGGAAGGCGACTCTCATTCAAAGAAGGAACTTGTTGCGATACTTTTTCGGACAAGATTCAAAACGACTTTTGGATGCAGGCTCTTGGCTGAAACTGGCTTGGTTGGTTGAGACTTTGGATGGTAAAAGGCAAACGGGTTTAATTGGCTTGGTGAGGTGGTTTTTTGGGGAAGGATTTCAAAAGGGATCGAGGTGGTATGAAAAAAGGATAAAGGAAGTTTGAAGAAAATAGTATGATGGATATTTAAACTTCTCACTATTGTATTGCTTGTGATTGATTTTGTATTTTTTTCTTCCGAGTAGTTTTTCTTTCATCTATGTGTGATGTTTTTGGGTTTGAGTTTGTTGAACGAACATTTACAAGTAACATTTTATTGATTTCTTATTTGTATAGGTGCTGATCTGGATGACTTTGTAAGTCAATATTAGCTATTGATGGCTTCGCTTTGTTGCATTTTTATTTTATCACGTTTATTTACTACTTCTGGTCTTAGGAAATCCTCTTTGTGTCAAGATCTTTTTCACAAATCTTACCATACCATATACTACCCAACTTGAACATGATCAATATCTATCGCTCACTTCCCTTCGAAGTTGATGATTTTCTTTGAAACATATTAAGATTTCTATCGCAATACATTAGACAGCTTCAGATAAAGTGGTACTATAGATTCATGTTTGAAAAGGTTCAAGAAAACTATACACTGAATTCTTGATTTGATGCGAGTGATACATTGAGGGAATTCACATCATCCCTAATTGCAGTATCATTCTACTACTAGGCGGAATAGAATCATGAAGTGAGTTTGCAATCTTAGATTCTTATTTACTCATACATCTCTTTCGAATTGCGCCATATATATGGATTTGAGATCGGTCAAATTGAACTTGTGATGAAAAACATTCCCAGATAATGATTGACAAAAATCTCAATGTAACTCTGATGAAAGCTCATGAACTTTATGTTATAATTAAGTAGTGATAGGGGATTGAAAAAGTTTGTGTTTGAAAGACATGTTTTACACACTTTGATATCACTGTTTGAGAAAACCCTCACAAGAAGTTCACCTTCTAAATGCAGCTTTTGTTTTCAAGAAAACTTTTCAATCAGATTAGAGATTTTACCTGATGTTTTGAATCAAAGAAAAAAAGGTTTAAAAATTAAGAGAAAGCACAGTTTGGAATTTGCCAGCTGAGCTGTGAAGAAAAAGCAAATGAAGCATGCAATGTTGAACTTGATCAAGAAATCAAGACACAGCTATATGTATATGAGTTTCACTGTCAGATTTTTGACAATTTCACATTGAAAAACTTTTGAAAAGCAAAAGAAAGCACAATTTGGAGTTTGCCAGCTGAGCTGTGAAGAAAAAGCAAATGAAGCATGCAATGTTGAACTTGATCAAGAAATCAAGACTCAGCTATATGTATATGGGTTTCACTGTCAGACTTTTGACAATTGGACTTTGAAAAACTTTTGAAAAGCAAAAGAAAGCACAATTTGGAGTTTGCCAGCTGAGCTGTGAAGAAAAAGCAAATGAAGCATGCAATGTTGAACTTGATCAAGAAATCAAGACACAGCTATATGTATATGGGTTTCACTGTCAGACTTTTGACAATTGGACTTTGAAAAACTTTGTTCTTCTTCAAAAACTATTCTATATGGCCAAGTCACAAATTGCTGTCTGTGCCTGGAGCAACCCACTGCAAATCCCAAACAGTCTACCTGCTGCACAATTAGATTATTTGCAAGTCTATACACTTGCCTACTTATCTCTTTGTGGGTATACTAGAACATTGGGGGCGGAGGGTCAGGCTCGGTGGTCTCGCATTGTATACTGCGCAGAATACATTGCAGTTGTATTGCGTAGCGCCATTGCAACATGAACAGACACAGCATACACACATTTTTTTTCGATGATGTATGTATGGGGCTTCATCATTGACTTCCACACTCTCTCCCCACTAGATCTGGTGCCCCCTTACAACACCACGCTACCACATCACATGACACAGACCAATCACTCTGCAGTCAAAACACTATTTACAGCTGTCTGAAATGGTACATGTCTGACTTTGGCCAACCATCAATACCAAATGAGAGATCTCTGCCTCCTTACTGATAACATGCCCATTGCCTATCATTGACATAATGTCAGCATGTTACACAACAACACCAAACTGTCAAAAAACTCACATTAATATACCATGTATCCATTGGATCATTGAAACCCTTGACTTTTCCAACAAAATCAACTATATTTCCAACTTGCATTGGTTTTTTCAAAATCTTTATGTGGTGACAGCTGTAATTTTCATTTGTCAACATATTTTCATGGTGATAACTTGAGACTACAGCATCTTCTATGCTCCAACCTGTCTGCAATCCAGCCACCGCGCACTAAAAAATGGCACCTGTTATGCTCTTCCCCTGCCTAGACAATGTAATTATCAACCATTTGGATTATTACATTGTGTTACCTTAGGAATCTTTCTATAACTTTGCTTGGAACATTCTATTGGCTTTTTTGGTGATGTGAAACTGATAGAATCTTCAATCATCTTTTTGTAATGTAGCTCATCACAACCTGTAGAGCAGACAGTTGAT